AACTTTATAGATCACTGGCAGTAGAGTAACGCCGCGATATGAGTCTGGAGAAGTACGGGGTTTCTTTCCTCCTTTATATATTGGCACAACCACGCCTTTCTTCCATTGTAGAGGGATGTATCCAGTGTAAAGTATGAGATTAAAAAGGCTGGACAGCATGCTGTATAAATACTTCCCACCATGTTTAAGATGCTCGTAGAAAATATTGTCAAGACCACATGCTTTGTTGTTTTTTTAGGTTTCTACACAGGTTGTCTATCTCCTTTTGAGTTGGGAGATTGAAGTTGATAGATTTTCTGGAATGTTTCTGGATGAGTCTAATCTCGTTGACACGTTTTTCGATATCCTGCCGAAATTCTGCATCAAAATGGGAGTCGCTATTGTCAGCAAAGACTTGTTGCATATGTTCTGTTATAGCTTCACAAAGCTCTTCATCATCCCGCATTTTCCTGTTGCCCACTTCAAGGGATACTATCTGTTGCTTCTTGTTTCGACGAATAAGTGACCAAAACTTTTCGGGTCAATCTCCCCGGCACTGTCAATTTGGTTGAAAAAATCTACTTCATATTGCGAAGATGCCTCTTGGCTTCTTTGTATGCTCTGTAGGATGGGTGTTCTGCGCCTCTTGGCTGTCCATCGATGATCTATTTAGATTGCTTATCTAACATGCGTTTGTGGCACTCCTTCACTGCTCCTTTCCAATATGGCTTGATGTATTTCCTGAATTTACGTACCTGTAGATTCATCTTGCTGCCAGAAGAGAATCAATAATCTGCATGCAGAATGTTTCAATGTCAGACTCGGGACATCCAGCCTCAGGAACCCACAGCAGGTGAGAGACTGCAAATGTGTAGTTTGTTATACTGTTGTCCTGTACAGCCTTGTCCGTGCAAAACTTGGAGTACACTGGATCTCCATTGTTGAAGTTGTGATTTGCACTCAGCAAGACACTGTATATGACTGGGTGGTGGTCAGAAACGTTTAGAGGGTTGTCATCGAGAACGCGTGCAGACTTTGAAAATTGCTATGTCATCAGATAGGAGGATATAGTCCACTATTGAAGAAGGTCCCCCAGCATAAGCTTGAAATGTGGTAGTTGGTCCACTACAATAGGCTTGGGCATTAACAGGCACTAGCTTTAGGTCACTGGTGAACTTCTCTATATGTTCCTGTTTCTTCTACTGATCGATGCTTGGAATCTCGGGCCACTCAGGGAAGCGGTCAGGTCACCCATGACAATGACACTACCATTCTGCAAATATCCAAGACATATATCAGTCAAATAATCAACGTAGTAGTCGAAAAGTTCATCTGATCGATTTGATGGTGGGAAATACACCGAAAGAACATACAGAGTCTGATGTTGGTTACAGAGAAGCTGGATACCAGTTACCCTATCACAGTCAATGTCTAGCTTCACAATGTTGTTTTCAAGGCCAGTTTTTCACAGAAGAGCAGTTCCACTGCAGGAGACCCCCTTTAAGAAGTCTGGGACCTGTTGCAAAATACAGAAGTAGTTCTCGTGAACAGAGTCCATGAAACACATGTTGAAGTCTCTAAGATGGTGGTCAGCAATGGCGCATATATCCTCTTTGTAGTCCTGTAGACTCTGGTTTAGGTGAAGCACACTGGACATTATCCCCTGACATTCCATGATATCAGAGATAAGGGTTGGGCGGAGTGTGACGTCAAAGTGTTGTGGGGACTTGCTCATGTTGACCTTGGTTTAGAGTAGTCTCCCGTTCTCTAATTTGACGCCAAAACTGTTCCCGTGACAGCCATGGCTTGATTATTATATTTTCCAGCCAGAAAGCTGCACTTTCTAGTTGTTCCTTATGCTCAGCAAGTACGTTAACTTGAGCAGATGCAGTTCTCTTCTCAGGTCGGTTGAAGAACCTTACGAACGTAACAACAACGTTGTGTTTCTCCAGGAAGCGTTTTAGGGACACTGAAGAATTATTTTTATGGATCCCACCAATATTGGGGGGCAGCACGGAATTCAGCTTGGTCTCGGGTAGCAGCACATTTGTCTGATCCTACATGTACTGCTATATTTGACGTCATTTCCTCAGATACACCATTGTCTGGTTCTACTTCTACAGCCGGTGTTTCCATACCACCAGCACATTGGGGCTGTGTGTTTGTCTTGGTTTAAACATATTTGATTTATGAAAGTGAATTTGAATTGGTGAACAAGCATTACTGCTTATGTTAACACCGCTCCCATGCAACATATAACACAACATGAAATGGAGGATTTGACTTCATCGATATTGACTCTTGCATAAATATAATATTTTAAAATATATATATAAATATATAGAGATTACATCAAATACAACTATTCTCTAGTAGTCATAAGTAAGAGAGTTACAGTTGTGTGTGTCTAATGAGCCATTGTAGAAATCAATCATGAGAAAGTTGTTGAGTAAATTTAATTATTTTCCTGAGAAAATTTGAAGCGTTGTGTCTTGATGATATAATCGTTGACGGATTCAACTATTTTCTGGTTAACACAAGGAGTAAATTCTTTGTTTCCATTCAAAATAGTATCCAGGTTATATCTGGTAGTGTAAACATACATATTTAATCCTATCTAAGTATAGTTACCGCAAGTGAGGAAATAGTGTAGGACGTTTTCACTCTGATATCCACAAGAACAACATGGGCTGTCTATTAAATGTCTGTTATACTTATCGGCGTTTAGGTCGCTACATGTGTGTGTTTGTCTTCAGACAGGAGCTGTACGTCGGTCTGTTGGCGAAGGTTGTGGGTATACTCTGTGGGTAGTCCTGGAAGTCGGTGTCTGTTTGCTGACGTTGGTTGACTGTTTCTATGCACACCGGTTCATTGTATTGCAAGATGCCAGAAGTAGTCTCTCGCAGTTTATTTTCACAGGTAAGGTCTTTTCTTGGTTCACTACCTGAGGATTTCTGGTGGGATTTTGCATCTTTGTCCGACGACTTGTTTCTGGATAGTGACTACAAGTTTTTCAGCTGTTTCTCTACTGTAGCTAGCCTACGTTTTAACTCAGTCTCTGACTTTGTGTTAGCACGACACGATTCCTCAATTCTGGCTACGTCATTCTCTACAGTATATAATCCCTTGTTGAGTAGGGTAGCTGTGGATTTCAAGCTTGATATTGCGAGACTACGGTCGTCTGAGATTCTTGATATTTCCAAGCATGTGTCATTTACTTTTGATTTAGATTCATGGACATTTTTTCTTCAAATCTCTGATCTTCTGTTCAACGTGGTGGATGAATTTGTAATTTTGATTGCATCTTTTTTCATGCCATCAATTTCTGATAGCAAGTTTTTGTAGGATGATTTCAATACACAAATCTCCGAGGTCTGCTCAGTGACTACTGAGTGTAACTCTGCACACTTTGTCATACGTTCACTGAGTTCTTCACGTCTCATCTTGTCCTCGTTACGCAGCTGTTCAACTGCTTTTACACTGTTACTTCTCAGCTTTTCAATTGGTCCCTTCAATTTGACAGTTTCACGTTTTGCTTCATCAAAGTTTTCAACTAGTCGTTTGTTCTCGACCTGCATTTGCCTTATCTTCGTCGATAAGCAATGAAGCTCCTGAGCAAACTCGCCTTTGATGTCCGACAGGTCACGCTCAAACCGAGCTATTGTCTCGTTGATTGTACTATTGTAAGGAAGCTGAAACACATTACCCTGGTCAGCTTGTGTTTTCCTACGTGACCCACTTACTACATCATACAAGTCTTCACAAAATCTCCCAATATGCCCGATATACTGTAAGAATTATCTTTTGCAAGTTTTCTCAATAACGTCTCACCATTTTTTGAACGTCGGTCCATTCTACGACGTAAACCTCCTTCTGTTAATGGAAATTTTTCTCTCAGTTTACAAACTTGTAACAACATATGTCTGATATCTTCTAGAGTGTTTGGCTCACTTTTAACTCTTTCAGTTAGTCTTGATATAACATCTTCTTTAGGACAGTTTCCTAGCTCTGAATTGAGAAACTCAAAATATTTTGAACTCATACCTTTGGTGTTTGAAATGTCCTCGGCACAACATTATACATCAGTTCTGTCTAGAGTTGTAATATCTTCATTCCGTGAATGATGTGTTTGATTATATCCCCATCCCGTGAAATCAAACACTTTAGGCACACGTTGTGTCAATTCAGAATGTCCACTGTCAATTGCTAATCCATTCAAAACTTGATTTGTTTGCGAGAGCAATTCACACACGTCTACACCAGCCGCCATATTGGATCTTTAGGTCAATCGGTTTCCTCTTCATACATACAAATAATATATTCTCAAAAACATTTGATAAACACAACTTTTCGTGATAATAATAGTTGAAATATCCACACCAATTGGGTTTCCCTGAATGTCAAAGTTCGGAAACTCTCAAGGTCGTCCATACTATCCGTTGAAACAGGGTAAGATGATTCATACCACAAGTCAAGCACTTGACTACAGTTTCACATGCATTGGGCATTAACCAATCAAAAGTCTTACAATTTATTAAGAGGTTAATAATGATCCACCCTGCTGTCAGATATTGTCTGATCCATTGTGAACACCCACGTGTGAACCAGTGGTCCAGGTCTTCGTTCAGTGTATTTAGGGACCGTTCATAATTTATGGCTGGGGGTGTGGGGGCTGGGATGTGTGTGTGTGTGTGTGGGGTGATGATAATTTTTATGGAGAATCATGTACAATGTGAATGACTCACCCCCCCCCCCTAAAATTTATGTACAAAATAAGCCCCACCCCTGCATGTCTTGTACAAAATCAATGACCCCCCTCCCTTCCCATAATTTCTAAGCATAATTTTAAATATATTTTCATGTACAAAATTGCTGACCCCCCTAGCCCCTCAGAACAAAATGAGTGACCCTCCCTGAAAATCATCATCCCCCCCCTCCCGAGCCATAAATTATGAACGGTCCCTTATTACCGCCTTATTAAAACTAAATCCATCGTCCTATTACATATTTTATTCATTGCAGATTGTCCAACGTCAGCAATGCTGTTATGGACATACTGGAAGATTACATCGACGGTACTGTCGACGGTAAGTAGAATTATTGATCTGTAACGAATGGGAACGTAATTGTTATATGCCAGGGTGTTGTTGTACAAAACAACCTTATAATTAGTACAAAGACTACCTTAGGTCTATGTTAAGGTATGGGAGTAACGATCACCTTGGTGCTATGATCGCTCTGTGCAACGGCACCCTGGTTGACAATTCCGGGTTAGAATTGGTCTTCTGCAACCCATGCTTGTGGTACGAGGCGATTAACGGGGTGTGGTGTTCATGATCAGATCGATGGTTATGATGCCAATCAGTGGATTTGTCTGGTCCAAACGTGATCACCTGCAGACCGCTGCAATATACCTGGAACTTTGTTGAATCCAGTGTTAAAGAACAAACACACAGTCATAAGACCAGGGTCCCCATAGTTTGTTTTATTGGCTCTTTGATTAATATTTTAGTATCATCTTTAGACCCCCAATGAGATGTATGGGTGAAATGTTCGGTAGTAAAACCTGGAAACACGAGAACTCTTTTCACACTTATTGTGTTTTTAACGATGTATGCAGCGCCGAGCATCTATGATGGAAGCAGGCGCTATACAAGCCAATTATTATTATTATTATTAACAACAATAATCATGACCAGGGCATATCCAGGATTCGAGCCTACAATATGTGCATCCAGGCTAGCTATTCTCGAAACGTTCGTAGCCCTTCGAACTTCTTAAGCCCATTCTTAACACATTGGCTACGATCAAAGTTAAGAATTCTCAGGATTACGAACGTTTGGAGAATAAGGGCCCAGGCTCCGCGAGCAGGGTCGCCCAACAGCACTTGATCATTTTCGGCCCTGAAATAGGAAAGCGATCAATGGTGTTCATTTCATGAAATCTTTATATACAATGCTGACAACGAAAGGAGTTGCTATATTTTATGTAGAAACAGTGGGTATTTATCCTATATACGTGTCTACCTTTCGCTAGTTACACGTAATATGTGATAGTCTAGTCGGTACGGTGTTCACTCGTCTCGCTAACGTCTCGTGGCCTCACCTGGGTACATTGTGTGGAGCTCAGTCCTGGTGTCCCCCGTTGTGATACAGCTGCAATGTTGGCTAAAAGCAGCGTCAAATAGTACTCACTCACATTCGACTGTATTTAAGCAGCAATAAACTATTTTGGTTCCCTTACAGAAGAAGACCAAGTACAAGACTCCACGCCTGACGACTCCACGACAAGCAAACCAAATGCCAGTGCCGGCCAATCGGGAAAACAACCTGAATCTAAACCTGATGATAACCCCAACAGAGGCACAAACAATCAAAATAAAAATGAAATAACCTCTCAATCAAGCAGAAAACAAGCTGTTAGTGATAGTGCCAGTGATCCTTCTGGTAAAGCACGAACCACCACACCCGGTTCTGGGAACATAATCTCCACTCTGTCTAACGGACAGAAACCAAAACAGACTACGGATATATATGCCAGTGAAACTACAACAGGACTTAATGGAGACAGGCAAAAGACACGTCAAAGGTTACAGGTGGCAGCACACCCCTCTCTTCAAGAGAGGTCACCACTCAGGCTGACGTAAACGGTCCCCAACAAACAACAACAAAGTCGGCAAATGAAGTCACGTATCCGTCTGACAGAACAGATCAGCCGAACCCAAAAGAGACGAACACTCCAGAATTGTAAGTTCAGCCTGATCAAACTGATCGAAGTTACATACCCTCCAGTTTTGTTTTGTCGCGGTTATCTGCACAATCTCCCAACCATATGTGCCAACATCCATGTCATTCTGCATCTGTAGCTTTAAAAGCAGTACAGAGGGGCAGGGTACACACGAGCAAAGGAAAAGCTTTCCATAATGTGCAGAAGGATCTGCTACAAGCAGAGTCCACAGTACATATACTGTATCTGAGCCTATGTTCATGAATCACTGACAAATGCTGATCAGAAGGTAACGATACATATGTTCCCGATATGGCGAGTGCATCTTGCTCCGACTATGGCACACATCACAAACACATACAAATATGAGTCATAAACAAATACAAATGTGCGTCACAAACAAATACAAATGTAAGCCACAAACACATACAAATATGAGTCACAAACACATACAAATGTGAGTCACAAACACATACAAATATGAGTCATATACACATACAAATGTGAGTCATAAACACATACAAATATGAGTCACAAACACATACAAATATGAGTCATAAACACATACAAATGTGAGTCACAAACACATACAAATGTGAGTCACAAACACATACAAATGTGAGTCACAAACACATACATTACATGAGGGTGAGTTACACATACAAATAATGTTGGCATATGATGCATAAATGCATATACACATACAAATACAGTCATAAACACATACAAATGTGAGTCACAAACACATACAAATATGAGTCATATACACATACAAATGTGAGTCATAAGCACATACAAATGTGAGTCACAAACACATACAAATGTGAGTCACAAACACATACAAATATGAGTCATATACACATACAAATGTGAGTCATAAGCACATACAAATGTGAGTCACAAACACATACAAATGTGAGTCACAAACACATACAAATGTGAGTCACAAACACATACAAATGTGAGTCACAAACACATACAAATGTGATATAAGAAGGTGACAAGATGGAGTTTACATACAAATTTGAGTCACAAACACATACAAATGCTGGTCACTGGTAGTGAGTCACAAACACATACAAATGGCGTAAAGTAAGATAGATAAGATAAGATAAGATAATGCGTTATTGCCCGACAGGGAATTTTGTGTACATCAGAGTTAAGAACATCAGAAAACAACATGTAAGACATGAGCAGCAACAATGACACTGAATGCATAGTAAACAACAGTATTTATGAGAAAAACATCTTACAATAAATATACTAAGTAAATAATGTTTAAGACTTGTTTATAAAGGATATGTTAACTGGTACAAAAGAGTGTTTACTTCTCTTTGACTTTACATTTGGTAAAACGATACCTACAGCCAGATGGTAAAAGTGTACAACAAGGGTTTGAAACATGTGTTGGGTCTTGTAAGATTCTGACAGAAAGATTTAATACTGATGACATGTACAGGGTGTCTGAACTATCAAAATTACAACAAACATTTTTTCCTGCAACTTTAACAATGTTGAATATTGGAAAGTTAAGAAAATTTAACCAATCCAACTTATCCCGAAATAATTGAAGCGGTATTGTCCCTCTGAAGTTGTCAGATATCAGATCAAAGATACATCTGAGGTTAAGGATCAACTTACTGACAAGCAGAACGTGTGATTGATATTGACAAAGAATCTGATTAGAAAAGATAGGAGGACGACCGATGCCTATTAATGTTCATCGTGCCAAATTGTGATATCGCCTGGTTTCACCATGCAGAGTCTCCAGCATTTCAGTCATTGATTTCTCAATAAACCTCAGAGGATATCCACTTTCTTTTTCGACACACTTTCCTGAATATTAGAAAACATGGTGACCACATTAAGTAACAAATGCCCCATAGTACAAGGAATGGACATATATTATATTTGTCGTGTGGGATAGTGGCGTAACAAGAGGAAACACTTTCAAACATCTTTTTTAAGATTTTTAAAAATGATACCAATCCACTGAAGTCAGGAATCTACGTGGTATCATTTCAAAGTGCCTCATATCTTGTTTGCCATCAGTTATGCGATATAGAAATAGAAAATGAAATTCACCTTGTGTTCGTCTGTCCATTTTATAGTGACCTTCGAAAGAAATATATAAAAGATTATTTGACAGGGATGCCGCCATTGAAAGCTTTCGTATATATTTTAACGACTAAGAACGAATCCCATATATTAAACCTTTCACTATTAAACATGCACTAGTTAAAAGAAATGAACTGTTTAAAGAACGTGTTACTTCCTGTGTGTAACAGTATGATGTGTATATACTCCCATGTATATGGGCCAGAGGCCTTCTGTACAATAGACCCTCTTATGACTTTTGACTTTGACTGTCGTGTTTGATAGTGGAGTAAAGAGTGGAAACACTTTCAAACATCTTTTTAAAGATTTTAAAAATGATACTAATCTACCGAAGTCAGGAATCTACGTGGTATCATTTCAGAGTGCCTCATATCTTGTTTGTGAATATGTGTATAAAAAACGCCAATCATTATAGCATTAATGATGTTGGAATCTTCGAGATAGTGATTTGTTTGTACACATGCTGGACCCCACAACGTATATAGATGGGCCTTTTGAGTTAAATGTTGATAGTACTGACGCATTGTGTGGGCAGATCTCTGCCTCGGTGAACACAGTTGTTGTTTATATTGCATTGTTTGAAATGTTAGCTATACCAAGTCCTTCATCTTTCATCAAATAGTCAACCCGTGAAGGTCCGGGTTAGAATATTGATCTTCAGTAACCCATGCTTGTCGGAAGAGGAGACTAACGGGATTGGGTGGTCAGGCTCGCTGACTTGGTTGCCACATGTTATCGGTTCCCAATTGCGCAGATCGATGCTCATGTTGTTGATCACTGGATTGTCTGGTCCAGACTCAATTATTTACAGACTGCCGCCATATAGCTGGAATATTGGCGTAAAACTAAACTCACTCACTCACTCACTCACTCATCAAACAGTCAGTGCAGCCATGGGAGTTATTTTATCGCGGTACCTGTAGATACATGGACAAGAAGGCATTGCCTTTAGGCAAATTATGTAGGTAAATTAATGTGTTAGATAAAGAAGAAAGGTTAGGTGCATGTAGTTAGATAATTATAGTACTTTACCATGTGAAATACGAAATACTGGATATTGTTAGCAAATACTTGCAGTGTGTAACTGGACATTTTACAGGCGGAAACAGTGGTTTTCACTGACTAAACGGTGAAGTAAAAACAGACAGTCGCTTGTAATCTATGCCTCCACATACGTTTGTCATTAGATGGTAAACCTTTAGAACATTGGTATTATGTTTTCAGGAACGGTACGGTTGCTGAGGACACCACTGAGAAAAATGGTAAGCAGTGTCTCTCAGGTTAAAAGAAGCCTTAAATGAAACGAAATATTGCCTCAGTAGTTCAGCACACCATTTTGTCCTTATATATATTCGGTGAGTGTCAGGTTCTGGAAAGTGATATAAACTGCCAGACCAATTTTAAAGCTTATTAACCTCAGCACCCGAGATTAAATTGGGAAGAAATGTAACTCCAGTCTTGCCAAAAGCGACAAATTGAACAGAGGTCAGTCTTGGTGTTGTGGTTGATTGCATATCATCAAATCCCAGCTGCGTGGATCAATTCTTGTGATTTTAGAAACTGGGTTGTTTGCCCAGACTGGATTATCTACAGACCGCTGCCATGAATAATGCCAGAATGTGTGTTCCCTCCAGATGTTCCTAACTGTGCGAGCCACCCCTGCATGAACGGCGCCTCGTGTGTGCAGAACAATGGCACCTATACTTGTATCTGCAGACCAGGCTTTAGTGGAGAAAGGTGTGGTTCAGGTAGGAGTTATTTGTCTGGACTTATGGACATCAGTGAGGACACAGGTTATGACACACACAGTGACAACCTTTCACATGGTCTCTCAGAGGGTGAGGTCATCTTTAGTATCTTCATCTTCGGCAACCCGTGTTTGAAATTCATGTTCAGCAACCCATATGTTTCGTAGCCAGAATGTTAAACTGCATCGGACATCATTGTCACTGATACGTCAGGTTTGGTTATATCCTCCTCGTGTCTAATGTTTTGAAAGCTTTACTGAAGCCTGGGTGATGCACAAAAGCATATGATAGAACTTTGACTCTGGTGCTGAATAATGTCTACATAATGTACTTTCTGTCTGTTATTTGTAAGTCATCCGTTTAGTTTGGCATGATTACAAACCCTTCAGTTCGTTGGATGTTATATATCCACTATGTACATCAGTTTAAACAGTTTGAAATAAAACAATTTCGGCCAGAAACGTCTGAAAGAAAAAAGAAAATCTTGCTGAAATTTCTGCAGTAAAAACAATTCATGCAGACATTTCTGCAGAAAGGCATTTTCTGATCCCATTTGTGGGCAAATTGTAATAAGTGCATATTGGAACAGGTTAGTTAGATTAATTCATCTAATCTTTCCATTGATATAAAGCATGTGTTTGTAGCTCGATCCCTTCTGTTGGTTAAGTTAGGACTACTGGCCACTCCTTGGTTGTCCACTCATTCTCAGTCAGCCTGTACATTTGTGATCATGGAAATCGGATTTTTTTTTATCTGAACACAATTTCTTCGATATGACAACGACAAATATTATTTACTTGACCTATGTACAGAATGATAGGATACAATGTCTTATGGTTTGTTAATAAACGGCAGTTACTAACTAGCAGTTGGGGTATTTTCTAGTGTATTTTATGTCACACAAAATAATTTGATGTTAGATATATGTAAAACTATAGTACAACTTGTTTTAATTGTTTGCTAAAATCCTTTAACAAACTAAAGTTAATTTCAACACAAATAAAGAAAAAGAAGTATTCAGATGTTACACAGAATCTTACCGTTACATTGACAATTGGTGAAATTCAAACAAGAATTTCCAAATAGATTCTCTAGTTCATCTAAAGTAATACTGAATGCCTTACACTGACATGTCTATATTTCTAGACAACGTCAAGGAGTTATGCGACCTGGGAATATATTTATTTGCCCCATATTGGTTATCGAATGTATCACTGTGAGGTAATAGACATTTAATACAACTGTAACGTAAAATACTGTCAAACATAACGGATGCAGTTTTTGTCATTTTCAGAACACTGCAAATACAAAAAAATTAATTACATGTCTTTAACAAATGTTTAGCAACAAACGTCGGACTATATAGGCATTTGACGCATACCCTCAAATATTAAGTTAAATTATTACCTCTTTGATTGGCATTCTAGAAGTTGGGTAGATGAATAGATGAAGAATGATGACTAGTTTATGGATATACAACTTCTTTATTCTATATAGGCGACATTTCGACATAGATTCTAATGTCAGTGGTGCTTGACACTTGCTTGACATTGACATTAGAATCTATGTTGTATATCCATAAACATAGTCCTCATTCTTCATCTATTAAATTATTACCTGACAGTAAAATTCAGCATGATATATTCCACATGATGCATGAAAAGATAACGTTCACTATCACTAGTGTTATTTTTGATGTAACAAATATATACTCCGTGGCTGGCGACATCAACTTTAACTAAAATGGGATGTTATACATATCGTAAGAATATATTTTTGATGTATTATGGAAATGGTAATGGTAAATTAACACAGAATACCCAAAGTATCTTGATTTCCAAATGAACTTTTGTGAAGAAGTTCAATATTATTGCACTTACAATCATGCGACAACGCAATAGAGTAAATGTGCATGTTGAGTGAGAATGAGTGTGTCCTGACCTACTTTACTTTAAAACTAACACATGCAGATATAGTTGAAATGACAAATCACCATGGTGACACGGTTGCCGCTTCAGTACATGCATTTCTACACCATAAACATGGCATCATCAGAAAAGAGATGCATGGGTGTAGGAAATGTACCACGACATTGTTACTGAGTGAGACGTGGATGACTGGTGAGCACTTTTCAGCTCTGGTTTCTTCTCACAGTGAACGTCTAAATACACGTCTGATTTCCCTCTCACAGTGAACGTCTAAATACACGTTTGATTTCCCAGATATACGTACGTGTGAGAGCCAGCCCTGCCTCAACGGTGCTACGTGTACACAGAACAGTGACTCCTATAACTGTAGCTGCAGAACAGGATTTACAGGACGAACTTGTGAAACAGGTGGGAAACATCTCCTTCTTTATCATACGTTTGTCGTTACGGGCAGTGACAGTGGCCTTGGTTGGTGTCTAATCATCCTTATACATGAGAATGTATGATACTATCTGTAAAATCATAAAATACTTTCAAAAACAGACAGACGAAGGGGAACGAAGGGGGAAATGCTATAAGGTGTTTGAGGAAGTGATACAATGATGTAGAGGAAGGTGGTACGGAAGGGGAACGAAGGGGAAAAGCTATAAGGTGTTTGAGGAAGTGATACAATGACGTAGAGGAAGGTGATACGATCCAGGTAAACAGAGTATTTGATATTGTCATTCATAATCTTACAGTGACATACTGACCATCCAAACAGTATCGCAACCTGTCGACAGTAACTTTATTCCACACAAACTGCTACCAGAAGATCAACTTACAATGCTAATCTGTACATGTCTTTAAATATTTGTGACCATTTTGGACCCCTGCAAAATCTTTGTTTCAAGTAACCCGTGGTCTGTGTGAGGGGCGACATAATAAATGCAGGGGACCATTTCTCATGATATGGACAACCGATTGCTGTTGTCATGACTTCCATTTCTTAAAGGATACCTTGATATGTATTTAATCTATCATCCTCTCACATTTTTGTACCAGACATTGACGAGTGCGAAAGCAACCCTTGTCATCATGAAGCTACTTGTGTGGACGGTGCTGGCACCTACACGTGTGTCTGTAAACAAGGGTTCGTTGGAGGAACCTGTCTGAAAGGTAAGACCAGTCAGGACTTGCTTGAAATATCACCAGAAGGAACGTCATGACATGACTGTGTTCTATTTGTAATGCTTAGTATTAGCTGAATTAGCGCAATAGGTAGGGAGAAGAGTCTCCTCTTTCGTGATCTTTCAAGGCTGGCACTGGAACCTTTTATTTCGTATTGCAAGTGTTGACTGTGATGGCACTTTGTTGACTTGCGTGGCAGCGCTGTGACACCACAAAGTGTTTTCTTCACTCAGATGTCTCTGTACGATTGTGAAGGAATGTATTACACATGTATGCCACCATCTAGTCCAACGTTATAGTGTTAACTATGATTAGACTTTATAGGTCGTAAAATGCGTGCGTGCGTGCGTGCGTGTGTGTGTCACACTTTAGGTCAGCTTCTAGACCCGTGTAACAGTGCTGACTGTGTGACACGCTGTAGGCTGGACAGAGAGTCCTACTTGGTAGACGCCTTGTGAGTGAGTGAGTTAAAGTTTATAGTCACAGCGGCAGTATTTCAGCCATATCGTGACTTGAAACAGTTATAAATTCACGATAAATGCTCATATTTTAAAAACCTGTCGACGAAGGACAGTAAAAACAACTAGTATATCACAGTAATAAAAACAGCAACTAGCATATATCTCTAAAATAGGACTTCAAAGCAAGACAATACAGTATACAAAAGGGCTGACGATCGCCAACAACTGAAGGTTGATCACGACTCTAGGGACCATTGGGACTTGCAGTACTTTGGCTACCTGCATGGACCATAGCAGGATTTATACCATCCCGTGACGCCTTGTGGACTGGCGTGACACGTGCCTACTTGAAGGCTTTCAGGACACTGATGGCTGTGATACAATTCTACCATTTCACGATAAGACACATATTTAAGTGAAAAGCGATAAAGATATATATTACATGTTTTTCTCCAGATACACGTCACTGTGACCTCAAACCCTGTCTCCACGGCGGCACGTGCGTTGATGGAAATGGCACCTACACGTGCATCTGCAGCCCAGGATTTACAGGATCCACGTGTGAAGCAGGTTGGTTACCTCCCGCCATTCCCTGTCAACCAGATGTATCTGTTCAGGATAGATATGTCGGCTATGAATCGTACCAGAGTTTGCCATATAGTGGTCGTGAAAACTGCTTTACCTCTGAGGAGGTGCCAGAACTGCCAGGAATCAGTCTGTGCACAATTCTCATTTTACATGAAACATTGTGTAATTAGGCTATGATAGCAGGATACAGAGAGCTACCAGTATGTCCAGTGATCAACATCATGAGCATCGATCTACGCTATGTAATGGTGGTTTTCCTAACCTTTCTTCGTTCCTCCTATATTATCAGCTGTTATCTCCATCATTCATTAGTCATTATTCGCGAGACTGTTTACTTACAGATTTACAGAAACGGTAATAATGACTTCGATATGTTCCAGATACACGCCATTGTGATAAGCAGCCGTGTAGGAATGGAGGCACGTGTACTGACGGACTTGGAGACTTCGACTGTGCCTGTGTGAAGGGCTTCTCAGGACTGTACTGCGAATCAGGTAGGAGCAGATGGTTTTACTATCGGCATGTCCACATTACCATACGAAATGGGCTTGAATCCTCCCGGTAGATGCCCGTCACGTTTGGGAAATCGTGGACGAGCATATTGACGTAAGCTTCTTATTTAAAGAGTTTTCACTGTAATGAAAAGCTTCTTGTCATATAGCTTTACCTGAGTAAATCGTGCGTAAATGTACAGCTTATAATCCTATACAGATTATAGATCGAAGAAAGAGTACCCTTTGACCTTAAAATATATTCTAGATCTCTTGAGATGACATCATATCTCTTTTGCACAGTAAGTACATTTGTACTAGATGAAGCCTTACTGAAATTGAGGATTAAAAAAACATATTATAAAACAATATACACATTCATTACAAAACACTTACAAATATTAGCTTTCATTGTAAATGTGGAAAGGTTCTGTAACGACAAAAGTAATAAGATCAGGATGGAAACATAACAAAGGAAGCCAACAGTTAATTGGGGCTGATTGGTCATTAGCAATGAACAAATGAAACCCGTGGTCACTGATCAGTAGTACCGATGAACAGTAGGAGTGAGTGAGTGAGTTTACTTTTACGCCGCACTCAGCAATATTTCTGCTATGTGGCGGCGGTCTGTAAATAATCGAGTCTGGACCAGACAATCCAGTCATCAACAGCATGAGCATCGACATGCGCAATTGGGAACTGATGACATCCGTGATGAACAATAGGAAGTAGCATTGACTGGTAATAGCAATAGACAGGTGGAAGCCAAATGAATTAAAGAGTTATGCTTGGGATGAGTAGGTAGGTGGACAAGAGCAACATAGAGGTAAGCATAATGCTAAGCAGCAGGCAGATATGTTCCTAGTGGCTGGCAGGTATCTCCTTGTGGTCTGTTATAGCTTCTTTCGACACCAGTTATTACTTGAAAATATCAATCTGTGCCATCTATCTGTCGCGCTCTCTTATGCCCCGTGTTAGGTTTCCAGCATTGGTATTTTCAGCTGTTCTTGCACTTACGTGCACATGTACAGACACATGGCCAAACAGGTCCATTCACCTGAGAAAAGCAGTAATCATGTTGCCTGTACGTTCCTCAACAAAGTTAACACCCATATGTCTCTGCCTGCTGTGTATCACTAAATGCCATTATAAGACTGAATTCATGTACAATAAGATCATTCATGACCACTTCTGTCACTTCAGCAAAGTCACCTTTGCGAACTCAAAAACTTTCATTAGCTTTGAAAGTTTATGTTATATACAGATGTTGTTTAACTCGCACTCAGCAGTATTCCAGTTATATGGCGTTTTATACAAGTTTTGTTTATATAGGCATCGATATTGTACACAGAATGAGATAATCTGTCTGTAATGAAACGACGCTCTATATTTTGGGAAACTGTGTGTGTCTGGAATTTAAACCGTTATATCGCCTGATGCGACATGACGATAATATGTATTGAAATAATGCTGTAAATCAGCATCCAAAAGCGAACACCTGTTGAAAGTGAAAGGTGATAATAAACGTATATCTTTTAAAAGGTTTCTGTTTTCCTCAGACCTACGCACCTGTGAGGACCAACCCTGTCCCCGAGACCACGTATGTGTTGAGAGAAATGACACCTATGCTTGCATCTGCAGGGAAGGCTTTACAGGGCCCAGGTGTCATACAGGTGAGGTAACTCTCATCAATCGTGTGTGCTTCAATAGTTACACTATTCAATAACTATCCATGTATTTCGACATAACCCGTTGGCCAGGATACCGTGACACTACAAGGATGGTGACTGGGTGGTAAAGGGTGACTTAGACAGACTCCTGGAGACACTGATCTGTTGCCGGACTACAACCTTCATGAGCAACTTCACACAACTGACGACAGTAGTGTCAAACTATTTCATCACTCTACCGAAACTCACACTAAAAGACACTATAACAATCCATAGATATTAATAGAATGACAAATGTAAAACGGGACCAAAAGGTCCTGTAGCTCACTTTACATTAGAATCATGGAACGTTAGCCTGAGCTGTCCTCAAAACAAAATCAGTTTGGTGTAATTGTTTGTGAACAACATATGAAAGGAGCACTGAAATTCATCAGTGATGACACCTGATAAAGCGCTAAAAGCAGCCTAAAACCATTTCAACTTAATATAATTTCTTAATTTTGAGACCGATTCGAATCTTTCAAAATGACCGCCTCGCTACGAAGATTTCAAACAACATGAACTGATTCGTGCTCAAACGTACATTGATCAGGGTACAGTGACACCAGAAAACGGACGACCAACGTATATTGTGCTTGGTAAAACCAGGAGGTATTTAAAAAGCATTGTCACGTCATCATTGACTGACTGACTGAGTTTAGTTTTACGCCGCTTTTAGCAATATTCCAGCAACATCACGGCGGGGAACCAGAAATGGGCTTCACAAGATTTTACCCATGTGGGGAATCGAACCCGGGTGTTCAGCTTGACGAGCCAACGCTTTAACCATTAGGCTACCCCACCGCCCCACGTCATCAATGAAGTATCACAATAGAAATGATATACGACCCTGGATACTTGGCCATCCTTGCATTTCAGCATAATTAGCCATGTGAACCCAAAGATGTCGAAGTTTAACAGACGAACGGATGACGAAGAAGGTATCACGACCTCAGTAAATATACGTGAGAGATGATGAACGAATGGAAGGATTGCGAACGAATTAGTGACTGAAGAGCCGATGACAATGTGTGCACGGACAAACCGAAACATTTATTTCAAGAAATGTTGGTTTATTCTTATCGGCTACTGTGGCACCTGATAATTAAACATATAACTTTACAAGAACGTCTGTTTTACCCAGATATACGCACGTGTGAGGACCAGCCGTGCATCAACGGGACCTGTGTGCCAACAGATGACACCTATTCTTGCACCTGTATCACAGGCTTTACTGGAGGGACATGTGAAACAGGTGAAACATTTCACATCCTTCCTGGTCATTAGTCAGTGGATAACGATCTTGGCCTCGTGTATAAATCCTATGGTCGTTCTTAAACAGGACTGTATAGCATGACCTGGGCTTTTCTCTCCAGTTCTTTGAGTCCGTCAGTTAGTAATAGGTCTCTCTATATCTCTTCATGTGACTTATAAGCAGGTAGAACATTGTGGTAGAGGATGGTGGCACGAAGCGAGAAAGGACGGTGATAGAACATAACAAAGGAAAGGGACAAAGATATGGGGAAGGTTGTACGTGGAGAGTAGGTGGAGAAGACGTTGGTACAGGGACGAAGGCGAGGGGTAGAATAAGGTGACACAATTGGGTAGTAGAAGGGGAAAACATGGGTAAAAGTAGGTGACACAAGTGGGTAGTAGAAGGGGAAAACATGGGTAAAAGAAGGTGACACAAGTGGGTGGTAGAAGGTGACTCAGGTAGGTGGTAGAAGGTGACACAGGTACGTGGTAGAAGGCGACACAGGTACGTGGTAGAAAGCGACACAGGTACGTGGTAGAAGGCGACACAGGTACGTGGTAGAAGGCGACACAGGTACGTGGTAGAAGGCGACACAGGTACGTGGTAGAAGGCCTTACAGATGGGTAGTAGAAGGTGACACAGTTAGGAAGGCGAAAGTGATACAGGTGGATTGTAGAAGGCGACAAGTGGGTAGTAGAAAGTGATACCAGAAAGTGAAGGAAACGTTTACGCACTTACAGGATGTTTCCCGCACGCCCACAGTCCGTTTGGCTCAAAAAGTGGACCGACGAATTGCAATCTAACCTCGAGAACTAATAAACATAACATACTCAATGAAACACTGTTCATAATCAAAACATACCAAACCCTGTGAGGTTTTGCAGAATTTATGTCCTAAAAATAATAAAGTCGTTTAACAAACTATCACTAAAATATTGACACAGTTCACTGTTTGTTACGAAGGAGGAGTGCAGAGAAAGGGACAGCCAGGTGTTAGAGAAGCACGTTCACAGACAAAGTTATTTATTCATTAACCTGTGCTGTGCCGTCTCCATCCGTTCTCGAACTAACATATATTACTTCGTTGCAAATTCCGCATTCACTCATTCATTTTCAAACACCAGATATCGACGAGTGTGAGAGCAGTCCTTGCCATAATGGAGCTACCTGTGTGGATCTGGTCGGCAGGTACAAGTGTGTCTGTAAGGCAGCATTCTCCGGAGAGAACTGTGTTGAAGGTAAGGCCAGCGTCACGGATGTTGATGTTTCTATACTACTCTTTGTTAACCCATTCAAAGTCCTGACCGAGAATCTTTCAAAGGCGCTGGATTCTTAAGAATCTCTTTTAGATGAGACATTTATTTACTGAAATATCGTTTACTAACTTAATTTTTCAAGAAATATATTTGTTTACCAGATTTACGTCACTGTGACAGTGAGCCCTGTCTCCACGGTGGCACGTGCGTTGATGGAAATGGCACCTACACGTGTATCTGCAGCCCCGGTTTCACAGGACATACGTGTGAAGCAGGTTGGTAAACTCCCGTCTTTCCCTGTCAACCAAATGTATCTATTCAGAACATTGTGATGCTGTTCAGTCAAATATCTTTACCTCTCCGGCTGTGCTAAACTTCCCAGGTACCAATCTACACACGAGACGATACACACATTCAATGAAATATACAGTAAACGTGGGCTCACACTATTATGCACCATATTAAAACAAGTCCCCTGATTGAGAAATTCTAAAGACATTGCTTGTAATAAAACACTTAAACACTTACTGGGATTCCGGAGTGTTATGAGCAGAGCTTTCATCACGTGACTTGACGTCAGAGTGGAGACGTTCAGGCGAACACTGTTTGTGAGCTACTAAGAAAGCATAAGTTGTAAATGTCACCTATCAAGCATGAACGATTTAGATTTGTTTGTGAGCTACTAAGGTAGGTCACTCGTCCACGGCACTCGACATATAACTAGTGATTTAATAATTTGCTGCCAAAGCCAACCTAGAGAATTTCCAATGTCGGTTATCCGACGAAACAGATTCCATGAAACAATTACGGAATAAACAGGCTTTGTGTGTCCTATTTGACAAGATGATAAAGTTGTTTCTTACGCCTATACGTTGTAGATGTACGTCATTGCGACAAGCAACCATGCTTAAACGGGGCCACGTGTACAGACGAATTTGGCGAGTTCAGCTGTGCTTGTGCGGAAGGCTTTTCAGGAATATACTGCGAATCTGGTAAGAATAGATGCATAAGCTACCAACATGTGGCATTCTATCTATACCCTGGAAGTAATCGGTCTGTGTCGTCGCGATAGGCTTTGGTTACTTCCTGAAGAAAACTGCACATGCTCTTGGCTTGAAACGGAAGCTTCTTATGTCAAAACATTTGCTGTATAATCCATTTCCAAACTATACATTCCATGGTAGAAGTAAATAAAACAATGATCGTAAACTTAATATTTTTAGTAATGCCTTATTGTCCAACGCGTGTGCCTTCTCGGATATTGGCAAAGACCAGATGGTAAAGTGCTTCAAAAGCGTTTCGGTCGGAATTGTTACTTTCCCATGCTGTGACGTAAACAGGAATTACGTGAAATGAGTACATCCACGAGAATGGACAAATCGAATTCGTAAATTAGTCTTCAAATGAGAAGCTTATAATGAAATCCATGACTTGATTTAATTTCAAAATCTGCTTTGTTACATGGTAGTAAATTAGACAAGTAGTATCCGTCTGTGTGGAATCAGGATGGGTCTGCAGCCTCTATTACCTGTGTTAAATTGCGACACACCTGGCTGACTATAGTATCCCGGGTTTCTCTTGCCAATGTTCGAGTATGTAAAGGCAGGATAATAATGACGATGATAATGATGTTGTTGATGACGATGATGATACGTACTGTGATTCACTGCTCCTAAATCGAGACAAATTGTCACAAGATTGTATACACACTTGTAACTTTAGAACATTCGCCCATGTGCAAGTTCGACTTGTATTAACCTATTCTCTGATTCCACAATGCCATTTAGAAAGTGGTCAAATGTTACATATGCTATTTTTGGGATTACACTTTCTGAGTAAAGTAAAGATTCTAGAACTTTTGTAAGGATTCGAACCGACAACCTCAGAGTCAGGCACCTAATCGCCAGCACATAAAGTCAGTCACCTAACCCGCTCAGCCACCGCGACTTCCACAAAAATGGAAGTATGACAACTGGTAGTCTAGACTGCAGACTTTGTGTACCCCTCTGATAAGTGTAAATTGACACGGCTCCCACGGCCGAACGCTATGATTACACAATGCCATTTAGTAAGTGGTCAAATGTAACGTATGTTATATTTGGGATTAGGATTTGTTACAAAAGTAATAGAATCTGTACTTTACTAAGAAAGTGTAATCCCACACATGACATAATTATGTAACCTATTCTCTGTTGCAGTTTGCACGCCAGACAAGGTGGACCTTCTCTTTATGAAAGACGTGTCAACCACAATCACGACTCCTTACTATAACAAAATGGTTGCTTTTATGAATAATTTACTGAATGAGCTTGACATCAGACCAGATGGCATCAACGTAGCTCTGTCTGTGTTCTCGGGCCGTGTAAAAGTGGACTTCCATCTGGATGATTACAGATACAACAAAACAGGAATGCTACTGACTATCAACATGCAGACATGGCGAGGTGGCAAGACGTACTTGGCCCTGGCTTTGGAAATGGCAGCACACGAAGTCTTCAATGAAACCAATGGTGACCGACCTGATGCCAAGAACGTTGTAATACTTTATACTGATGGACGACGCACAGGAACGATGGACATCACCGCTGTTATCAAAGACGTCCAAGCCAAAGCCGAAGTATTTATGGTGCTTACCTCCAACAATGTCGATATGGATACTGCCAGAAGGGTTGTCTCTCCACCTGCGGGGAACCACTTGTTCCATGTTGATGATGAGAATCTCGTAGACTTGTTAAAGAAGAAGATTTCCACCGTCACTTGCAGGGGTACATAGCGTGTGTTCCACGCTAGTGGTTGGTCACACTGTGACAAAATGTTTGGGGCAATCCAACTATAAGTAAATAAATATTGCATATGTGTGGACACCATATAGTTTTTTGTGGTTTATACGAAATTTGGAAGGTTAAAGGGGAGATAATGCAGGGAAAGGGGCTGGTAGCATGAGAGGCAGCATGGCGGGAAAAGCGGTCGTTCGTCTTGCCGCTGATCCGGGCTCGCTTCCCCGTATTTGCGCAATGTTTAAAGCCATTTTTTGGTATCTCCCGTCGTTACATTGTTGGTACATTGCCGAAAGCGGTGTAAAACCATACTCACTCACGCAGAGACTGATACTTGGGTAATGAGTGCTGTGATGAATTCCCAGGTAGGTTCTGTCTAACTGCGTAAGAGCACGCACTTCCATTGGGGCTGAGGGGTAGCCTTACTCACTGCACATCCATTACAAATATTAAATTGAGCCCTACTAGCAAGAGTGAGTGAGTGAGTGTGACTTAACGCCGCTTTGTGCAATATTCCAGCAATATCATGGCGGGGAACACCAGAAATGGGTTTCATACATTGTACCCATGTGGGGAATCGAACCCGGGTCTTCAGCTTGACGAGCGGACTTTTTAAGCTTTAGGCTACCCCACCGCTCCGATACTTTGGTAGGTGGACATACAAAATGTGACATACAGAAACATAACGGTCAAATATATTGACGGTCTGACTGTATGATATAGACTGAACGATATCGAAGTTCACGCAGTCGGCAGCAGAATCCATTTTCTGTAAAGATGCAGGCCTTCACCTCATTAAGACCATAGTGGGTGAGTGAGTATGGTTTTACGCCGCTTTTATCAATATTACAGCAACATCAAGGCGGAGGACACAAGGAATGGGCTTCACACATATGGGGAATTAAACCTGGGTCTTCGGCGTGACGAGTCAACCCTTTCACCAACATGCTAACCCATCGCCCCATTAAGGCCACAAATCATTAACGAACGACTTCGGCGAAAGCCATTCCATATATGAGAAAAGGATAAACCGGAGTTGCAATAACGTTACACATGTTCTATTTGTGATTACACTTTCTCAGTAAAGTACAGATTCTAGCATTTCTAGTGTATAGTTGGGTTGAGTTTCATCCGGGATTCGAATCCGCACTCACAGAGTCACACACTTAATTGCCAGCAAAGTCAGCGATCAAACCCACTCAGACATCGCGGCTTCCACAAACATGGACATCTAGTAGTCAAGACCCCTCTTGCAATAGCGTTGTTGCCCTTTTTGAGACTAATGTCTAAATAGAGCGCACCAGTGCCTCTTACTGAATATACATGTACACTGTAAACAGTTGAAACATTATTGCTTAGCGTACAACACTGCCTCATAACAATATACATTCTGAATATTTGTCCTGGCAGTTTAATATTGGCAGAAGAATCGCCTTTGCGGAGGGTCGATATTTACCACAACTCTACCAGAACTTTTGAAACCCAAGGCGTAATGGTGTACAAAGAATGGGTGTTCCATTTCTCACAGTACAACTTGTGAGTCCGTCAGGGAAAGCGGCGAAGTACACGGGCTGGATTGACTGGTCCGATCGTCCCTTTTGTCACTGGCTTGCCTTTACTTCTGGTCTGGTCTGCCGACTCTCCTCTGTTTGCTTGTCCTACCTGCTTTTAGAGGCAGAGGAATTTGACGTTCCTCTTGGAGATGAATGTGCCGTGTTTGGTGAGCTTCAATTGTGTCTGTTCAGAACAAAATGTCTCCTGAACACACAGACGTTTATCTATAGAAATATCTATTGGGATTCATTTTATGAATTATAAGATGTATTCAATATTGGTGTAACTATTAAGTATGGAAGAAAATAGACAATGTTACCAAAATTAATGCTAAAACGAATGGACGAAAATGGTCATTGGCAACTGAAATTATAAGATTCATCTGCATCTATGGTTTTAATTATGCACGGGATTTCCAGAATATTGTAAACACTGATTCATTTATTTCATAATTCACGCAAAGGATTTAAGATTGTAATACCCGGTCTCTTCTTTCCATGTTAAATGACCACACTAATTCAAATTTCTACTCCATTATTCAAATTACTTTTAAAATGGAATCATGCCTATAGATGATATATAATAATGATTTAGGACGATATGAATCACTTTTAAGGTTAGGTGAATTAAAAATCGTGAAGAAAACTAGTAGAAAAGATAGTATGCCTCGAAAATAAAACTTTTGTCCATTTTGTAAGAATATCTCAGACGATGCGTTACATTTCATGCTAGAATGTCCAATCTGTAATACGTTGCGACTAAAATATATGATAGATATTGAATATGTAAATAACTATTGCCTAATAAATCGTCTTCAAAATGCCTACCAAAATTTATAGCTCTTTATACAAACTTTATCAAAGAAGCTTTCATGTTACGTTGCTCATTACTGTAAATGTAAAAGTACGTATCTCCAAAATAGATGCTGTGACTATATGTTATACATATGCTGCTTTTGCAAACCTAACCACCTTGTATGTATATAGCTTGCATTCATATTGCACTTGGACCGGTGACTTTTATACTGAATAAATTCTTCTTCTACTGATGCATGTAATGTAACATGTCTAAAACGTTTAACTGTATTCCATTTCTATTGATAAAGCAGAAAGGATTCACCGTGCCACCACAATAAGGTAATACGATAATTGCATTGAAGCGGCCATACAATTTCCGAGTATCGTGCTGAGATTGAACCACAGACAATCTCATCCAAAGTCGGACGCTTTGTTCACATGATCAGGAGAGTGTACGGTTCTCCACCGGGAGCACAGCCCTTCTGACTCTCCGTGTAATGTAGAAGGCTGCAGTGTTAGGGAGTCACCATATTTTCTGGAAAGTTCTTGGTGGGTTTGACTAGGCAGCACTCCCAGTCCCGTTCGCTGCCGAGTCGAACCCAAATATCAAAAAGGACAAGGTCAGGTTTTTGGCATGAATGCTTGTTAGGCTGTATTTAGGCCTATTGAAAATAAGTTCAAAAGCAAGATTTTCCATGACGACATGTTCACGATCCTATCATGGTTGGACCTCGGGATCAAAGAGACAAACGTGGCGAAGGCGGTAATATAAGGACCAAGCATGGCCACCATGTCGCTTAAGATACGTACTGTGTCTGTGCCAGTGCTGGTCGTCAAGTGACACGGCGTTGGTCAGTCTCAATACACAATCAACAGTTCACAGTTACATTTTGTATGCATAAAATCATACACTTTTCAAGCCAAGCGACTTCATCCAAACGAAGGTCTCCGCAGGACTGCTCTTCTCCTAAACATACTGCACGTAAACTCGAGTCTGTGCGATTTGATACGTCACTTCGCTTGGTTAACATACATTTCTGTAACACCCAGCAGTACAGTCCCGTCAACAAAATCAACACAGACGTTGAGATTTCATCCAACATCCTTGGAGAGCCTTGTTGTCATTATGTTTTTGACTTGCTTCACAAGAAGATCACCAGACAAGTAAATGGGTGCAAAAGTGCATAGGACAATGCTGTCTCGAATAGCCTTTACCACAATCAAACCACGGCCTCCCATTTCAATTGATAAATATAACGACTGAGTTTCTTTGAGTGGCATATTTAGAAGTCTGTGAATAAGATATTAAGGGCAAACTTTATGGATGAACAACTTCTTTATTCGGGTGATAGGACGTTTCGATACAGATTCTTGTATCGTTGTCTCTGGACTCATAATTGCTTGACAACGATTCCAGAATCTGTATCGAAACGTCGCATCACCCGAATGAAGACATTGTTCATCCGTAAAGTTTGCCCTTATCTAATAACGACTGAGGAAACAGCAAAGGTTGTGGGCTCCTTTGTCTGACATGAGACTTCCGGTAAGTGGTTTATTGAGTGCTCTTAATTTCTTGTTTCGTCCAATCAACAATATCAACAGAATATGGGAGGACGGGTACAACATCGGTATTTATGGTTTGGACCTCGTTACGAGCGTTGAGCTCTGAGCTCACTTTTCTTACGTTTGCATTTGTATTCTGCCTGTGTCCTTTATACAGGCTTTCTGGAGTTCGTCCCTAACTTGCATCCCTAAGTAGGTATAGGCCTGAGTTTCCACAAGCTGGTCAGTAACTCCTCCCACAAGTACATTGACTGAAATGACGGTGGGGTAGTCTCGTGGTTAAAGCGTTAGCTCGTCACGCCGAATACCCGGGTTCGATTCTCCACATGGGTACAATGTCTAGTGTCCCCCGCCGTGATATTGGTTGAATATTGCTACAAGCGGCGTTAATCCATATTAACTCACTCGAGCCCGAACGACAAATAATACGTACTTCCTCAATGCTCGTAAGGTATCCCAACTCCACAACACACTAGTGTGACCAGTTAGCGTGACAATAAAGCTCAGTTTGTGTGACAAGGAAAACGGCACACGCTGTCACAATAACGTAACAGTTTACTTAACATACACAGCATACACCCGTAGAAGACACCCGGAGCAGAATACGTGTGTTGGTCGTCGTATATACCATGCTGTGAACAATATGGCCTGGCAAAACCAGCACAAGCCAGTGTTCAGTGCATGTAGCTGTCTGATATCGCTTGTTCTTTTATTACACGTCAAACGGAACTCTTGTGGACGTGAGTATTGATATTGCCTGTTTTGTCGATTGTATTGGTCTCAAATAACGCATTTGTGTTCACGTCTCGTTTGTTGCTCTCACAGGTAGCGTCTCTTACCCCGAGTATGTATCAGTTTCTGTCTGTGGCAGATTTGAGTGAAACCAATACACACATGTGGTCTCACCTTAGGCAAGTGAGTTTGTTCAAAATTGTCTCTGTTCACCCAGCAAGAAAATGGGTACCCGGTGGAAAAAGGTCATATGACTATAGCCTTCTAGCGCCTAACAGGCAGCTTGGGTTATCCGGGGTAATAGTGTGCTGTGCCTTGATTGTTAGCGTTATCAGCATACCTAGTGTGGAGTTTGGCGCTATATAAATGGACACATTATTATCATTATTATTATTATTATAGTGTAGGGTAATTACAGACTTGGTATGTAATCACTAAATA